TTGGTGGTGGGGGGGGGGGTGGAGGTGTAAAATTTCACAAGTTTTATTGTCAAGAAACTTAATCAATATGAAAAATTGCTATCTTAATAGTATCAACAGAAACTGGATATTTTGAATTAAGCTAAATTTAATAGTGAATAGCTACAATACCTTCTTTTCACTTTTCTTTATAAAGTAACAAATACCTTAAAGCAATAAATGCCACTTTTCTTTTATCACAAAGATCAGAATTAGTCAATTAGGTGTGTAAAAAATCAATTAATCATTAATTACAACAAGTGACTTAATTGTATTGCATTTAGAATGGTTTTGCATGTATGTGACAGGGCATGACGAGGACTGTGACGGGGACAGCATCTGTCAGTATCCTCATCATGATATTGATTCATAATGATCAATATCTCTGCTATTGTCACTGACTGTTGATTGGTGTGCTGTTGTTGTGTATATGTGGGGGATGAAAACAGGGAGACTTTTCATCATTAGGGAGTTAACGGGGTGGTATTGACATCTTTTCGCATTGTGTATCGTGTTTCAGCTCTTCGCCAGATGTACAAGTGTGGATTTTAATTTCCTCAAGATCATTGAAAAGAAGTATTGTTACAGGATTTGTTACAAAGTTTCTATTTATAAAGTGTGTGTCAAATGTTTTTGGAAGAGTTGAAATTTTCTGACTTGAATTGGATTTAAAAAAAAAAACAAAAATAATAGAAATTATATATAGTGATTCATTGAGGAGTAAAGAAATATCAATTTATGCTTTAAACTGGAATATAGAAAACATAAAAGTAAGTATTTGAAGTTAATTATTATTATGTTGGTGAAAGTTTGCTGGATGTTTAGCTGGCAAGTCAGACAATCAAAGTGTATAAAGTTTAATTGAATTTAGACAGATTTGTAATTTTCATGGAATAAGCAACTGAGTTTGTTTTGCCTTAGAGTGAAGGTAAAAATTGCTTGGGAAAAGAATTGAACCAGCATTTGTATGGGAAACATAAATATTTTAAGCATTACCTTGGGGTAATTTACATAGGATTGAAATTCTGTGTTACTGCGAGATTACAGCATTTAGAAGGTTACTGGAAAATTGTTACATGTGTGCTGATAATTATACTGTACACAAGGAGGATTAATGTACCTTTTTTTGTGCATTTACATCTGCAGAAAGCCCGAAGCCCCATATAAAAACCCCTCGAGCCTGCTGAACACGGGTTTATGAAGTAAGGTAACGTCTATAGATGTTGATTCACAAAAAAAAAAGGTTTATTTGGACTAATTTTGCTTAAAGTATAATTTATGTCTGAACGTTTCGTTATTTGTCATTGTTGTTTGTCATTGTTGTTTGGTTTTTGCACCACCGGTCTTTACAGACCGTCATTAGTGGCTGGGACTATATCAATAAAAGCAACTTTTTTATGATTATCTAAATTGAATTATAAATTTTTAATTGGTTAATATAATTGAACTAATAATACCAGATTGACTTATTCTAGATGTCAGTTTATCAATAAAAAAAAGTCATAAACCATTTTTTGCAAATAAAACCCACTGATGTGAAAGAAGCAAATTTAAAAAGAAGGATTGTTTATACCACTGGTCTTTTTCTTTTTCCAGAATTTTTTACCACTGGTCTTTTCTTTTCCGGAATAAAGATTATGGAAAGACGTTTTATTTTCTCTTTGATAAATATACTTCGGCTCTGAGACAATTTGTAAAAGCTCTATTCTTGCGGCATATTATTGACTATCTGTCAAGTTTACATGAAATTGATCAGGCATTATAGCGATTGTTCATTCCCGGAAATATGTCAGTTTCATCACGCATGTAAAAATAATTTTTCCGTTTTTTTAAACGGCTCGTTTCGTTGAGAATGTAAATGTGGGCGGGTTCGATTTAATCAAGTCTTAAATTGAAGCTTTTGATTACAGTTTTATTGGAATCTTCCTTTATTTTGCTGATGATTCTGTATGAAATTGAAGTTTTAATGTTGAAATTTTCAAATTTAAAGCTAATAAAAGTAATTTCAGAAAGGTATCACTGTTTTGTAATCTGTTATTCATGTATATTTATTTGAATAAGTATGGCGCAAAATCTAATATAATTGTTTGTTCTAAGAAAATAAATTCAATAACATTTCTTTTATTTAACTAAGTTACTCTTGTGTTTATGATGGCTGTGGACTTTTGTTTTTTTTCCCCCAAAGGTTTGCAACCTTTTAAACAAAAATTTAAAATATGCTTAAAAGTAATTATTTTAATTAAATTTTATTTCAAATTTCAACAATTTTAGCTAAATTTTTTCTTATTTTTAAATTTTTCAAAATTTTTAAGATTTTTTTTTGTTTGTTTTTTTTTGAGATTTTATTTTTTATTTTTTCTTCAAATTTGTTATACATAATGGTAAAATGTATATATTATCTATGTCAAGTCAAAATACCACTCCCTTGATATTGTAGACACAAAATAAGAATACTGATCTGATTTTGAAATCTGAGCTTGAAAGTTGGAACCACAGTTAACGCCTCAATATGGATTTTTACCACTCGTCTTCCTCCATTGTTAGAACTAAACATTGATCTTAAAGTGCCCACAAATCAATACTTTGTCACAATATTTCAATGATTCATATATTTTTTGGATCAATCTAAGTTCTGCAAATAAGTGCCCAAAAAGATTTTTAAAAGAGTTTTTATGTAACTTTGCTATTGATTTCTTCCTCTTAAAAATAATGGCTGAATATTGCGCATTTTCCCTATTGACAAAGCTGTAGAAAAGTCCAAAATAATTATAAATCAAGAAAAAAAAGGTGACCATTTACCAAGTCAGCTCAAATATCTAAGACATAAAATTAATATTTATGAAAAACAATATTTTAACTCTATATTTACAAAAATATATAAATGTAGCATCATCTTAAAATGTGAATGTTTTGTAAAATGTAGAATTTTGCTCAAGTTGGTGCTATATTCCAATACCGTCCATTTAATCGAACCTACATTATTTTCAATCTTGTCATTTTTGGACATCCTTTAGGAATTCTTTCTTTTTTATTATGAAATATTCCCAATTTTCTTACAATTATGGTGCTAAAATTTCAAATCTTAAAGACTTTATAGTGCCCTTGTTTGTTGCAAAAATGAAAAAAAAAATCATGCTTGATTACTGCATGGGAACATGGTACTTGCATGAAAGTTCTCATAATGTCTGACTGTCTTGAAGCACCTTTGATGCATGTTTACAAATTTTCTTTCCTGGTGTTTATTTTTTGGCTCCATATATATGTTAACATCTGTAGTTAAATTTTATTTGATCATGTGATACTTGTAAGAAATGAGCGAAAAGATCTTGTTTTTGAATGAGGTTGGATTTTGTGAAATACAGCAGTAACCTATTTATAATTTTTCATGAATTTATCACTAAAGTTTATAGATAAAATTGAAAAAATCCATCTTTAAATCAAAATTTTGATTTGCTGTTTTAATTCTTGTTATTATCAATGGATTTGAATTGGATTAAAAAACCTTTACATGAGTATTAATTTTAGTGTCTTAGAATTCAACCTTTGTTGACGATTGGTCCATGTTGGACGTAAAATTAAATATGATATCCTTAGGTTGGCCAAAATTTTTTGAAGCATTTTCATATACGGTATACATATCTCCAAGTACAGTCTCTCAGTCTGAATATTAGTACTAAAATAATACGGATCTTTCCACCAAATAAAAATGTTAGTCTGTGTGTAACATTAATAATTATAGGAAGTTATGTCATGTGCAGGGCATCATAGTAATATATGTGTGACCAATTCGAGTAAAAGGTGTGTGTAGTGCATTCTCTCTTCCTTACCCATCAGAGTCAGTTTGTTTCACTCTGGTATATGCACCAACAGTCTTGGGCAGTGTTTTTACCTGAATCTGAGTGCGTGCCACCAGAGGCTGCCAGGTGATTTTCCCTGGTTCTGTACACCACCAATACTGAACAAATACAACATAGATGATATACTGGGAAAAAAAAAAAGAATGGTGCTTTATTATCATGCTGAAGCATCCTGTACAATGCAATCAGTTAGAACAAAAAGTCAATTAATAACTTTTCTTCAGCAGGATTCTTACATACAAAAAACAGTGACCTATCTTGACATTTAAAAAAATTGTTTCTTTTCTGAGAAGGTTGATAGATATTGTATGAGAGAATGTCTTGTTTTTGTTTGTTAGCACATTATAAAACAGAAAACATTTAATAAGTATGATATAATGGAGTGATTTATTCCTGTGTTTACACAAAAAATAACAGATTTGTTATCGTAAATAGTACGGAAAAGTGAATTGAAAGAATTGCAAAGGGGGTTGAAAGATTTGAAAAGTGCATATCACGTGTAATGTGTGTGAAAATTGTCTTAATCTTTTCTATTAAATTTGTTTTGAAAAGTCCCTTGTGAAATGTTTAGTCATTCTTCATGAAGTATTCATGAAGTATTCAAGAACGATTCATGAAGTTACTTCATGAAGACTTCAAGTGAAAGAAGTGAACAGAAAATGAGACTTATTCATAAAAAACTCATGAAACGACAAGAGTTCATGAATTTTTTTGTTCATTATTTTAATGTCTCATTTTCTGTTCATGAATATTTTATTCGTGAATAGTGCATGAAGATAAATGCTTGAAATTTCATACACAAAATTATTTGCTTTTTAAAGGGAAATTTTTCAAAAAGGGTTAAAAATTCCCTTTAAATTCATTTTTGCCTTAGTTTTTGCACCCGACCCCCAAAGGGAAAAACTCGGGCCCATTTATAAAATTTTTGCAAAAAAGCCCCCCCAAATAAATCACAAGAGGAAAGCTTTTTTTGGCAATTTTTGGAAAGCCCTAACTTGAAATAGGGCCAAAAAAAGCTTTCTGAGACAAGAAAAGGGCCCTCCATAAAAAAAAAAAAATTTTTTGGGGGAAAATTGACTATTGCTCTTTTAATTCACATATCAGCAATGACATATTATTGACATATTATTGCTTCTTTTTTTGGCGCAGTGTTTTCGTTTTCTGCATATTTTCGAACTTTTTAATGAAGCAATCTTTGCTTATGTTAGTTTTTTCACGCACTAAATGCTCCAGCTTTTCAACCTTAACAATGTCCAAAGGTGGGTGTGGCCCTCTCTCAGAACATTGATTGGTTCTCTTCCCTGTTCTGCTGCAGTTCATCAACTCCTCATTTGAGAATATAGCTTTGCATAGTGTTGATAAAACTTGCTGGACATCATTAGCATCCAGGTGGGAAACCAATTTTAATAGATTATCCTGCTGACTGGAACCACCTGACTCGAGTGCCACAACCCTATCTTCAAGCTTCCTTATCTTCCTCCTCAGTGCCCGTATTTCTTCCTTGATCCTGATAAGGAAAGGAAACAATTACATTGAATAGGGAAAAGTCACAAAACCTCAATCCTGCCATATGTGTCTAATTCAGGCATCCTACAGACCTCCAGCTAGACTTTAAGATAATTGCAGACCCAAATATGGCAACATTAATGAAATAAATATGTCTTGTATAATGGCTGGAGGGAGTATTGTCACTTACGGCACATGTTTTAACGCGTATGCTACCAGTGCCAGGGCCAAAATACCATATTTTGGGAAGGGGCCTCAGCCTTTTTCTTGGGGAAAATTGCGTGATTTTGGCATACTTTGGGAAAAGGGGTCTCAAATTTAACACAAACTTTTTAACAAGTTCTTCAAAATAGAAAAGCAAAAAGCACTGGGAAATACTAATAAGGCAGTAAAAGACCCTAATTCAACACCATCATTTAATTTTGTTCTAAATTCTATGGGAAATTTCAAAAGACTGGGGAATTTTGAGTATGAAACTGGGGAAAAAAAGAGGCTAGTTTGGTTGGGGAAGCAGCCTATATTCGGCCTCTACAAAGAAGGGTTTTTTGGCCCTGAGTGCAGATCCAGATCAGCCTGCACAACCATGCCGTCTGATCAGGATCTACACTGTTTGCTTTTATATTCATCATTCATGTGAAGTTTGGCTTATATTTGCTCACTAGAAGAGAATTATTAACTAACTTTGCATCAACTTACACATCTGGGCTTTCTCTTCTTGAGGTTCTTTTGTTTGCCACAATGACCTCTGCTGAGAACTTTGGCGAACCTATAATTTAAAGAAAAACAGGAACTTGTACAATACATAGTATATTTCAATTATTCTAATGCTAAATGTTTTAAACACCTGCGTGTAAAAAGCAGATATGTACGAGTCAGAGAATCTTCACAGCGTTACGATCGTGCATAAAATTATGAGTTTTGGATACGTAAATTTCAGATAATGATTTAACGGCAACTTGAGTCGCTTTTCTAACAAAGAAATATTTGGTATACAGTCAAAAATAAGCGTCTGTAGCCACACTGCCCCTCTCCCACCTTATTACAACTGAGCACCGTTTATGTGTCGAAGCTAACTTACGATGGACCTCGCTAATCACTGCCTGGTACGACTTCCCTCTGTTGTAAACAGCCTCAATTAGATCGCCCTCTTCGTAGTCCCATTTTGAGTTTTTCTTCGGCAAAAGAACGCTATCGGATGAAATGACACTCATATAGCAATCCTCCCATTGTACCAGAAAGTAAATCATGCTATCTGCCATGTTTGTCTGTTGAAATTTGTTGAGCGATGTTTGAATATTTTGCCGCGTGTGTTAAACTATGATTTTTGCAGACGAAACACGCCATTGGTTACCCGCGCTAGATACTACGATAATGTTGTACAGGATATCAAGCTGGAAACCAGTCTTTTGCACACGGTGAGTGAACGAAAATATTTATTTAGTTTCAGGTATTTATTTATTATATTCATTGTTTATCAACTTTTATCGAACCTTTTTTATTGTAATGGGTTCATTGTAGATCTAATTATTATTTGGATAACGTAAGGATAGACAAAGGTTATATTCTCAAAAAACAAATTTCGTTTAACACATTCCGTTAACGATAGCTTTCAGTATGGCAGACAGCACTTTGATGGCACCCAAACAAAATAACTGATTTGTCGTGTCACTCGTTTCATGGAGTTAGAATCTTTTTTACAACAATTATCCTCCACGAGTCGAACTTAGTCCTATGAGCCTGTATTTAAAGAAATATCCTACATGTAGACGATATTTTTAGAAGGTAATTCCTACCGGAAGTATTCTCCGGCTTCCGTTTCACATCCATTGACAAAGAGCGGAACAGGGAACCAAGCACGTGTTGTGGGAAAACACTTCCGATTTAGGAATTACCTTATATACATGTAGAATTTTTCTTAAAATACGGGCACATAGGACTTAGTGCCACTCCTGGAGGATATAACTATTTAAAAGTATGTAAAATCCAGTTGTTTGCATGTGAGTTCGACCCGTTTGATCTCTTTGTAGCGTAAATACCAGCTTACAATGTACATGTCATGACGGTCTCATCTTTCGGACCTGGGTAATTTCTTACTTTCGGGCTTTAAAACATTAATTAGCGGTTAATTGGGGATCTGTATATAGTAAATTGTAATAGAAAAATATATTGTGCATTGATTCCATGCAAAAATCCGACGATATTACCGCCCGGTGAAAAATTTTAACACAGACAACCGGCGTACCCATAATTTTCGTACCTGAATGTTGCATACCTTGTCTATAATAATATAACAGTAAAAAAAAAAAATTTTTTTTTAATATATTGATATTTTATTGTATAAATAACAAGGTCAAACACATTTTAGGTCAAATCAATGCCACCTAAGCACCTGTGTTATGTACCAACAATTGTCAGGGCAATTGTATGCTTGTCAGTAATCCCCATTATGTAGGTCTTTTGCATTTGTTGTTATTTAATACTATATCTTTCATAATATATTTTAAGTGAAACACATTCAGACTAGAAAAATAATATTCAGTTAAAATTATTAATAAATGGTCATTCCAGTAATGATTTAGATTAAATCATTAAATAGGATGATATTTCTTTTAATTTAATAGCTTTCATCTCCCATTTATAGTCAAAATATATTACACTAAAAGAAAACACATTAGTGACAATAAAAATAATGCTGAAGCGTTTCGTAAACTTTCGAAAAAACATTTGGCTAAGTTTGGTTCGTTCCACAGTTTCAACAACTCACAAAAAGTCAAAAGGCGTCGCTATCTTCTTAACATGCAATAATCTCATCGTCTTCAATAACAAATCAAATGTACAAAATTAAGTCTGAAATCTACCACACATTACATGTAAGTGAATGGTGAACCAGTAAACCATATTAATGTACCTTTCTTTAAATTTCAGATGGCAACAAGGAAAAAAGCTGATGGTTATAGATGCATTCACATTTCTGAAAAGAGATTGTTTCAGTGCAAGTTTTGCCTTTGAATAGTATCAACCAAGGATAATATTCTGAAACACCTATGTAGCCAGCATGGCCTTTGTAAGTATGAAAAATTACTTCAAATGAGTGTTGAAATCCCAGTCAAATCTTTTTTATAACGACCACCCCTTGGGTTTAACCCAAAAATGGGGTCTTTTTAAGTTTTTGTATATAGTGACCTTGACCCTACCTTTTTGATTTTTTCTTTATTTTTTAAAAGCAAAAGGGTTGCTCACAATTCAAAAATGTTAAACCCCCCTAATCTTTTTTTGTGCAAATCCATTTGGGCTTATTGAGCGCTAGGGAGCCTCATTGTATTGTCTTTTTTGGGGTGTACCTTTGTTCAATTTTTACAATAAATATGATTTTTCCCATGACAATTTAATTTGAAAATTTTTAAAAATTTTAAAAAAATGTTTATTTTTTTAAAAGCTCCGTTAAAAGGGTTTATAAGATCTAAAAAGGGGGAAAAGAAACAGTTCAAATAAAGGGGAAAAACAAAGGGGACTTTTGTGGCCACAAAAATTGTGACATATTTGGTTCTGTGCAGACATTTAGAGGTCAGCCAAGTGGGGACATTTTACATGCATTAGGTGTTGAAAGTAGTAGAAGTTTGAGAAAGGTTCAATGGCAACAAATTCTACAGTGCAGAATACTCAAGAATGAAGAAGCGTACATGTCATGCTGTCCTTTATTCTACTGACAAGTTAGGTTTGGTACACTACTTATTCTAGTGAATGATACAAATAAAGTTTATGCTGTGATGAAAAAGATGATACTGAACAGTACTTCTTGGCTGCATACATATGAAGGAGGAAATCATTTAAAACCAGTGCAAATACAAAGTCATGAGATTGATGTACCTGTGGAACAGATAATGTGTACATTGGTTTTTCATGGATTTGGAGGTAGATGCAGAAACAGCAATATTGGGACAAGGGCCCAAACCCAAACATGACCCTGTTTTATTCAAGTTTGACTGAATTTTTGGGCACATTTGTTTTTCTGGGCCACTTTCTAACAAAAAATGAAACCACAATTACAACTTTCATTTAAGTGTTGTGCAAAACCCCATAATTTCTGTTTTTCAACGTTAATTTAAATATTGCGTTTCCTTTCACGTTGGACTTTTATTTTTTGGAACTTCACGTACTATCTTGGGCCTAAAATTTTAAACAGGACTCAGTGTCAAGAGAAATTTCTTAATAGTTATACTTCTCGGGTCTCCAGTTCATTGATTTTTGAATGTTTAGACCCTTAATTGTCAAATTTTTAATATAAACTATTTTTCTCTTAACACTGGGGAAAAATTACACCCCAAAATTTCAAGGGACTGATTTATTGCCAAAAACTCCAGGCTCCTCATAATCTTTGAAATTTCATGGTTTAATGATTGAAAGTGGTGTTATGACCTCAATCTTTAAAATTTTACATTGTGTAATTTAAAGTGGTGGAAGACAAGTTTTTATACTGAAAACTAAGTCAGACTCTCAAGTTTTAAATTAGCTAAAATAGCTTTAATATAAGTGTCTGATTACATGTTTTAGCACAGATATGAATAACATATAATACCTACTTATAAGTATTAAAAATTGGGTTGCATAGATGTGTTCTTTTTTGTATGTAAATGCTTAGTTTTGAAACAATCGTTATTGATTTTTTAATATCATAGAGCTCCTGTAGAGAATTTTAAATCTGTGATATAAGTTAAGCTTAATTTCTTTCAATGAAAGGCTCTAGGTCATTACATATCTCTATATATATTTTTTTTTTCTCTTAGGAATATTTCTTGACTTTTTAGAGATTTATTATTACGTGTATAAGATAAATAGTTTTAAAAACTCTTCAAGTATGATACATTGATTATTTCAAGAATGCTTTGTGAATTTTTTAACTCTCTTAAAAATTCATTAAACCTTCGTGAAATTTCTGATGAATAGTTCATGAGTATTTTAAGGATATCAAGTTCATAAAATATTCATGATTTATTTTTTGAACATTTCATGAATATTTCCAGAACTTTATGAATTCTTCAATAATTCTTCAAATCTTCATGAAGTGGGACGAGACCTCACTTCATGAAGAAAACTTCATGAAGAGAGCTTTAAGATTTTTTCAAGAATAGTTCATGAACAGTTCTTTAAAGTATGAAATATTCTTGACTTCATGCATTTCATTTCGCAGGGGGTGTTTCTTATCAAATTAATTAAAAAAGTGGAATATATATGCTTTTTTCCTATTTATAGGAACAGGATGCAATATCAAAATTATGCATGGAACGCGGGGGCACCTGAGGTTTTCCTCCACTAGTACAGCTGGAAAGTGCCGTGTAGGTGCCACATAAAACCCAATAAAAAAAAGATCTTTTTAAAACCATTTGGACAGTTCTTTTTATTTATTTTTTTAATTTATTTATTTCTTTTTATTATTTATTTTTTACTGATCATTACTTTTCACTCTAGTCTCTTGGAGGCTAATGTCGTTTCTGTCTCCGATATTTATATAGGCTAATATTACTTGCAAGTTAACTCTACAATTTTTTGGCAGTTTCGTAGGAATCAATAAAATGTGTACAATCAATATAGAGTCTCCCAACAGAGCTAAACAATTGTCTGTATCATTTGGTATGTACATCTTTTATTTGCTACAAAACACAGACACAATAAATTTGGAAATTAATTTGTCGGCCAAATTTGTATGTTAGATGTTTGATGCAGTCAGTAAACATAGATACGCTCCTCATTATTGATCTATTTGACTTAACTTTACCCTGCTATATTTATATTACGGGCTTGCCCTGCATCGATGTTGGAACTGCATCGAAGTTGGCACTGCATGTCCATTCTTGATTAAAGAAATATCATTTACAAATTGCTATAAAACATAGATGACTATGGTGTATTAATACTGTTACTATATAGAGGATATTAAATGAGCGTAGATTCAATACTAAATTTATTGAACAAGTTGAATAAAATTATATTTTGCAAGCCTCTGGCGAGCATAATATTATTTTATTCATCGAGTTCTATAAATAAGGTAACAAAAATCTACATGAATATTAATTATATTCTATTTTTCACATACCCATAATTAAAACTGTCTTAGGAAAAAAAGAATCACTTTTATATTGTTATGCCTACATTTAGAGCTTCTTTAAGCTTTGTTTGTAAAATGCAAATGACAACACATCAAAATATTAATGCACTGCCATGCAGTACCATTTTTAAGAGGCCGCAAAAGCAGCATGGGCATGTGATATAATATTAATATTGTTAGAATTGCCCTACTGTACAAGAGTTTCATTATTGATCGATCTTTTT